GTCCGAACTGAACCTAGAAAATTCAAAATTTGGTGCACACTGATTCAAAATCAAATCAATGGATAAGTAATAATAGGTTGCTCATAAGCTATACTTCAATCTCTTCTACGCTCAGAAACATTTTTTGCTACAAAAGATCAATGATCTTTTATCACTTAACATTATGCCTCTCCCATTTCCTCTTTTTTTTCAACGCATTCCTAGATGTGGCCAAAGATTAATGCTCGCATTATCCTGAACAATTTTCGCAGGAAATTGTTATTCAAGCAAAAGGAACTGTTTATTTGTGTATATTTTTCCAGGGATTGTATCCATCATTGAAGTCTCGAACAATTGCCTAAGCCAGGGCTGTTTAGAAATTTAAGCCATAATGTTGTTTGGAACAAAAGAACTTCGAACTTTGTGTTTGAGACAGGTCATAGTACGGATCTTGTTTTTTCAGTTTTCTAGACTTATTAAAAATATACAAAGCCTTCTGACTTTGGGGTGAGTAATGGGCCTTGAGTCCTCTTCTCATCGTCTCCCCAAGCTATATAGCAGATTTATGAAAAAAAAACGAATACCAAATGTCTCAGTATTGCCAGCAATATCAAGGTTGCCCAGCACCCTAGATATTATATGGAAATTTATTCCATAAATCCAGTGCGTTTTTCTTGCATGTGCGACGAAAGCTGAGTGTCTCTCAGTTTCCGCAAGTAGAAAAAAATTAGCTTTCTCCTACATGTAACATTGACATTGACACATCGACATGGTGAATATGAATTAATGCAAATAATTTTCTGCCTATATTGATCATTGAATGTTTTGAATTGTCACCACTTCATTGCGAATCGATTAGTTTACCAATGTTCAGCTTGCACATCTGTTTGTTTCAGATGCAAATGAAGTACGGCCTGATCAAATATTCGTGTCATTGGTGCTCTGATATGCCCAACAACTTTCAGTTTTCGCGAAACACCTGACCACATTGTGGTAGCACTTTTAAGATTAGTTTGCATAACAAAATAACATCTCAATAAGTACCTTCGACGCATCACAAGTTTTTCTACGTTATGTAGCAGAACTTTTTAGTATGTCCGAGACAGTCAAGTATTGCCGGACTGCTAACCCCTATCTAGTAGAAAAGGTATCGTCACTATTTTTTTTCTAAAAGGTTGCTATGTTATTCATTTAGACTTTTTTCCCTCTATTCTACATTACAATGGCTTTCCAATAGCAGGCTCACCTGCTACAGCCTTGTGCCGCCGCATCCCTTACTGCGAAATGAGAATGAACCCTCCCGTTAATCTACGCTAAAGTGTTGGTAGCAAATGAGTAGAATTCATTTTTATTGCAAAGTGCTAAAAATCAATAAATCAATAGAATGGCCCAACAAATCGCCGTAGAAAGTAGTCTATCATCTGCGCAGGGGTCGAAGACATATGTGTGCAAAGTTTTAGCTGAATCGGTTGAGCGACGCGCGTTTCTATAAAGCACATACCTTCCAAACTGACAATCTTTGAGTTTTATCAATATAGTAGAGATTAGAAGCAATCTATTGAAACAAAATCAACAATTCGATTGAAAAATCGAAATTCATAATTGCTTACAGAGACATCATCATTGCCAACTTTACTAGTTGAAAAGAGAGGTCATGAAAGCAAACCAAAAATAGTCATATTTCTATAGACGACTCAGCAATTTCAACGGCCGAAATCCGAAAAATCAGTTTTTCTCTCAATAAGCTCATATCGTTGTTATATGCAACGAAGAATTACGATTTGAGCACTGCGGTAAACGCAAAGATTTTCTCTCTCCATCGTGTAGTAAATCTGAAGAATTTATTGAATCTGGAGAAAGTAACAGAATTTTGAGAATTTTGGCGTAAGAATCATGAATCATGCATCCTCCCAATAGTAAACCTGAATAGATCAGTTTATCACGGCTCTAATTATCAGTTTATTTATGAGGGCTCTGATTTGTTCAAAAGTAGCTCTTCGTCCATAAATTGCCTAAAACATTCTTGTAAATCGGAATCTCGCACAAAATATTTGCTTCTGCTTTTTTGAACCGTAGTCTTGCGTTGGATTATCACAATGGCTCTTCGTCGTAAAATTGGGAATATTTTCAGTTGCACGAGCTCAAAGGAAGGGGGTTTACTCAAGTGTTGTCAAATGTTTTTTTCGTTGAAGCTCTTTCTATGTCAGTTCTTTTGCAAACTTTTCAATTCTTTTTGTTTTTCCATGCTGCCGACAACACGTATGCATAAAAAATAACTGGATCGCAAGTTTGAAACGATGCTTTCTAATTCATCCGCGCAAATGTTGTCGCCACAGCAATAACACCATGGCCTCTGGTAAATCCCGATCATTCCAAATCGCCTAAGTTGGGCCTAAGTTGACCGAACTGTACCACAGATTAGCTTTAGCTGGCGCGTCGCGCCATTGATCTAAATGCGGATAGCTTTGTAGACATGCGCTCTTCAACGAAGAAACGTCCTCACTTGTAGAGGCTTAGTCAAATGTATAAGGTTACGGTAACAGCAAGCCATGGTTTGAACCAGCCAGCGGAGACATTTTTCTTACGCGGACCGGCATTTTTGAACTTGGACACTGTAAAGATTGATGGTGACTGCACTTAGAATGCTGAGCAAACGGGGAGATTAAACGGAAGGAATGAAATTACTCTAGTTCAACATGAGTTTTCGTAAAGACTTGCAGCTGTTCGAGGATATATAAAGAATGTAAAGTCTCGCTAGCGTTCTCAAAAATGAAGTGTTCTCTGCAAGAAAAAGTAAATAAAGGATTTCCTTTTTTGAGAATGTGAGCAGCTGTTCATCGACTCTCTCTACCCGCACTCCCCTCGAATGTTTCGCACATACTTTGCAGTATTGCATCACTTGCCCCGTAAAATAGTCACGAGCACTTACGGAGTTCCTCTCTAACTTTCGCTTTTACTAATCTATGGCAGTTGAATCCCAACCCATCCCTACCTTACGACACCTCGAGACGTGGCAGTCGACTGGACGATCAGCTGATAGTCCAGGTGGCCTTGTTAAAGCTTGAGAGAACAAGCGGGGTAAATCTGACTGCGGTTAAATTTAAGGGGTCAGTGCAGTTCGCCTGATGTGAAATTAACTACTGGCCTATACTTACCTTCAAAATGAAGTTGAAATTGTAAGTTGAAAAGTCTTAGGTACGCATGGATTTTGCCATATCGCCAAGCTACCATCGCCAAAGCGTACCACTCGAGAGCGATGGGCACATCCCATCACACTCCTCACGTGTAATATGTCGAAGATGCTTCAGATCAGAGATCGCTAACGTTCGAGATACACATGTTGTCCTTATGCAGTATAAATTTGTTCCGTGTTATACCGTCGAATGGATCTGAAGTTTTTGATTGTAATAATATTCTGATTTATAACTTTCTCTTACGTAGTGTAGCCTGTTTGGTCTGTGTTTTTATTCATTTTTTGGAGCAACTCGAGTGCAATAGATAAAGATAAGGATAAAATCACTGGACGTTCAATAGTGATGATAGTTCTCTTCATTAATGTACTTTGCACTGTTTTCGCACTCCACCAGTGGCCGTATTCATCAACGAACTTCAAACTAACCCTGGAGGGTTAGTTTAACCCCGGAAAACAATTAACCCGTATTCATGAAACGCAGGGTAGGCTTAACCCTGAGGGTTGAATCTGACCTTGAGGGTAAACCTTACCCCGAAAGCGATTAACCCGTATTCATCAACGAATCCTGAGGTTAAACTAACCCTGGAGGGTAAAACTTACGTAATTCATCAGGGTTAGTTTAACCCTATCTTAGAGCAAGGTTAACTCTACCCTAACACTTCATACAAACATTTACTCGCATGTAATAGTTTTATGGAAAACGATCAACGAGTACTGTAGTATTTAGCACTGGTTGTTATAATAGTACCCTAAAATCCCGCCAATAAGTCCGGCCTTATCTATTTCTTTGACACAAAAAATTGATAAAATCGCCCTCTGCGCTGCCAGAAGTCTAGCAGACGAATCCTCCCATCAGACCGCAGCAGATCTGCTAGACTTCTGGCAGCGCAGAGGGCGATTTTTTTAATCAATTTTTTGTGTCAAAGAAATAAATAAGGCCGGACTTATTGTCGGGATTTTAGGGTATTTAGTTCCGACTTCGTTTTATGTTCATATTCGAAGTACATGAAACATGACTTCGCGAGAAAAAGAATTCTAGCTTTGGTGACAAATGAATGCGACGAGGAAAAATGGTTGCGCATTCCACTCTGACAAATGTCAAAACTGAAGAACCCCTTTATGACAACACGCAATGACCCCTGAAAGAGTAGCACAAGCCCGGTATAAAACGAACTGCGCAAAAGTAGAACTTACACTGCACATATGCACAATGAAAATAAACTCATGCTGTAAGATTGGATACTGCACAAGTATGCTAGAGATGTATTATAAAAACTAGTGTTAGAAGCTTATTCGTTGACTATACTACTATAACAGTGAAAGAATAGAAGTATAAAGTGAATTTAGCACGTACTTAGGCATTCTGTGATGTGAGTTTGCACAGGGCACACGTACCTGACGCCTTAACCCTCTAGGGTTAGTTTAACCCTCAGAGTTGATGAATACAACCACAGGTTCGTTGATCGATATGGGCGGATCGCGTTCCGTTGTAAACCCTACCCTATGGTTGATGAATACGGCCAGTGAACCCTGAGGGTTAAACTAACCCTGGAGGGTAAGTTTAACCCTCAGGGTTCGTTGATGAATACGGCCACAGGACTGATAGTCATTTCTTTATTATGAGGGCATATGCTCATAAACTTTTATTATGTGTATGGCTAGCGCAAGCTTGAGGCAGTAAATATCCAAAAGCTCCATCTGGCGGTAACACCTCTCCAAAGCTCGCTGGCCTTATCATACTTGTTTGGGAATAACGGACCATATCAGGCAACTCGTACATCAGAGAGATACTCATTCTGTTTTACTACTGTGACTAATCGGTTACATACTCAGTTACCATTATAGCACTAAGGCTGGTTATCTAGCTTCCAAATCCCTTCATGATCATCTAACAAGCTTTCGTCGCAAAACGCAAAATACGTAGTTTTATGCAGAAGAACGATATGAATCGTGATTTGTTTCCAGAAAAAATAACAAATATTTGCGCTGTTATGCGGGTCAATGTGGCGCGGGTTTTCGAAGATGCGGATTACGTGAAAGTTCGCAATATGTGCGACAACAATCAAGGATGGAAGGAGGTAAGTGTTTAGATAGTGAAGAACAAAACTATTGGACCAGTTTTGGAATTTTTTAGGTATACCACAAGAAAATGATTACCGTATACACGCAGCCAGTGGCTGCCAGTAGCTTTCAAATGATAAAGGTAATCATCAATACTCGCACATTTTCTATGTTTTTTGTTGTCCGAGACTTACTGTGTAGCAAAAATTCCTATCTTCAGGCTGTCGCAAAATTCCCCGATGTGACTCCCAACGTTGCCTATGATGTTCTGCATGACTCAGCCTATCGAGCACACTGGGATCGACACATGGCGGCCCAGTGCTACATTGGAATGATCAACCCCAACAACGATATTGGATATTATGCTTGTAAGTTACTAAATTCTCAATAGAGGTCCTTCGTCTTACTATTCAGTCTCTTTAGTATCGGGAATTCCACCAGTGCGCGCCCGTGACTTCGTTATGCAACGTTCATGGCTTGACACGGGGAATGAGAAATTGATTTGTAGTCATTCAGTTTGTCACCAGGTAATGACACTACTTAACTTAACAATCATTGCGAACTTTTCTTATAAATGCACCATGTCCTCTCCTCCCCCTCCCCCTCCCCCCCCCCCCCCCCAACCTCCTCTACCTCACCTTGCTCTCGGCATCACGTAAAATTCATACACCTCTGCAGCATGTCTTGAAATAGTCAAATGTTGAGATCTTGCCAGGTTTTCCCATGAAGCAAGGGAGGCAAAGGAATCGTTGTATGAGCATAGTCTCTTCAAACCTATTCAAACTTTCCGTCTAAAATTTTAGTTGTCGTTCTTCGTCCATCTGTCGTCTGTTCTTCTCATATGCAACCGGTAATTGGTACCTCGCTTTAGCGACGTATTTCGACAAGTCACGAAAACGGGACCTATCTTTCATATTCATACCGCGAAGTCCACCGAGGTGTTGCATGTTTTGGGTACTCAGAGGACCGTGCTCAAGCGCTCTTACTAGTAGAACTTTCAACATGCTGCAGTATAGGCCCAAATCTCAGCTGCGTGACTGAGCGCTAGAAGAGCGGTCGAGCACACTTCCTACGATACATAGGCCATACACTTTTGTGACCAGCGATAAAAGAAAGTACAAGTTTTACGTGCGTAAAGCGAGTCAACATCCGGGACGAAGCCCTACTAAGCTTGAGACCGTATCATACCATACAGTATGAGTGTGGACAAAGAGAGTAGATTTGGTAAAATGCGTTTTCATAATCTTTTTATGCTGAAAAAGATTTTCGTAATGATAAAAGTTCTTATATAAATGGTGCTAATGTTCGTGCTAAACCGGTCGTTGTTATCATGACTTGTAATGAAGCGCGCATGTGTCTTGTCTGTGTGTTTATGTCTGTCTGTCACGAAATTCATAAAGCGCTTTGCAGCAAGGTTTTGTGCTGAAATTTTGGTCATAGCAGCCTATCAGCATATAGATAAACAGCGCAAAAGCACAAGCTGATCCGGTAATTGGAACCTTCAAAAACTGCGCGTCAAACGGGTAAACCCGACTTTTGGCCGACCAATGTGGGTGATTGTACTTTTTGCAAATTTGCGGATTTGCTGAACAGGTAAATGCGCAGACCATAGACTTGATTCCAAAAAGTAAGCAATATATCTATTTTTACGCAAAGTCAGCACCAAAGAAGTAATTGCGTAGACCATCAATTTGTCAAGGTTTCATCTAATTATTTGCGAAGATTCCTGTCCAGAAATATAGGTGACGAAAGTAAGTGTCCATTGCGGACGCTACCCGACCATAATAGCTTTAGTAACTGACCGAAATTCTCTTAATCTTCTACGCAAAAACTTTCTTTCTCTAATTTACCGCTCCTACATGGAAAAGCTCATGGAATGAGTACTTGTTTACAATTCGTTCATGAGGTCAACGTCGCTTAGTGAGTTTCAGAGTCATCATGCGAGCAAGAGGAAGGCATATAGGTAGAGGAGCTAGTGCGAGCCTCTGCGAAGCAGAGGGAAGGCACCGTTTGCATTATAAATAAGTTTCAGAGATCGGGAAAATTGATGAAAATTGGTAAAAGCCAAAAACTGCAATCAAAATCTGAGCAAGAGATGCACATAAAAATGCTCAGTGGTTTTCATCCCCGGCAAAATTGCTAGGGCATACATTTTTCTCAGAAAGCTCACAAAGATATATAATGTTACAGGGTTCCGTTGAAGTGGCCGCGGAGGTCCGACCAGAGCCAAATGTCCTTCAACTCTGCTGTTTCTCCTCTGCTGTCTGCGCCTCCAACCAGCGTGCCACGGCTCCGGGTCAGGAGTCACGCCGCGCCAAAATTCTGTGCCTCACGGTAACTCTCCGGTGCTACTATGGCGCGGCGCTACAGTAGAGGGGTAGGGGATGGCGGCAGATACATGACTTGATGGCATAAGTAACATTGCGACAGGAGTACTGACGAAAGCTGAGTCTTGTACTGATTGACGTCGCGGCGTCGCGCGAAAAAACGTGAGTCCTGACCGGTAGCGCGCCACCTCGGTACCCTCCTTGCGCTCCATAAGGCATTTAACTTTGCTACACCTTTACTGTGTCATATTCGGTTCTGATAAAAATATATCATTTTGTAGCTCTTGATTTACTCACACGCTGATAACATCGCTAAGCTTCATTTTTCGATTTGAACGGGAGCTTTGGAAAAGAACGTTTCGTTTTCGAAATCTTAAAAATTTCATTCCATTAGCTCTTTTCACGCGACTTTGCAATTCTTATACTTTGCCGTTGTTACAATGTAGATCACATCGAAGATTACTTTTGTGGTTCCAAAGTTCTGGTAAAAAGCAGCCAAAAGTGAGTTCTTCTACACAGAATTTTTTCGAAGTGACTGCGCAACTATTTTTTTTTCATGCTTAGGAGTTTCTTACTCAGAATAATAAACAGGACATCGCAGACACGTCGCCGCAAGCAAAGAAACGACAGGACAATCGTAAAAATTTGAAGGACGCACCAAGAATAAATAGGCGTTGATGCTTTAACTTCAAAATAGCTTCGTTTTTATAACTAGATTTTTTCCTGTTTTTCTTCTTCTTGGCAATCTCTACTTTCGAGCCGTGATTCCAACTGAGAAAGTTTTGCTGTCTAGTTTGCATCTCTTCTCTGTCTTTCTGTTTCTCCAGACAATCTTCACTTTTTATGGGAAAAGGGGGGAGAGCGGGGAGAGGGGGTAGGTTTTCAAACAATCTTCACTTTCGAGGCTGTATCTAGAATATCTAGGTATAGTTGAGCCTAAGATTTGGAATCGAAGCTTGGGCTTCAGCTGGTCACTGACTTCCTACACAGGGCCCAAAAGCGGCGCTGCTCTTCTTTTCCTATTATGCTCCTCAAGTCGTCCACCCTATTTTACAACTTCCAAGAGGAATGTAAAGACGTCTCGGAATGCAAACATTCCGCAACTCCCACAGAGTCCATTTCTTACCTCTGAGTTCTTAAAGGTAGTGTCCGGGGAAAAACTCAGCATCTTCTCTGCTTCAGTGAGGATATTGTACTTTTTCAGACAATCACAGGCTCTCAGCCGGCAGCCACAAAGCCACCGCGAAACCCACCAAAAGCGCGGTGGCCTCATCGCCTCACTGTCGCTTCCCGCTGAGAACTGGCAGCGAGCGGGCTGCTATAAAGCCTTCAGCGCGAAGCGAAAGCGGCGGTTTCGCTTCACACTGAAGGCTTTATAGCAGTCCGCTCGCTGCCAGTTCTCAGCGGGAAGCGACAGTGAGGCGATGAGGCCATCGCGCTTTGGTGGGTTTTCGCGGTGGCTTTGTGGTCGCCGGCTGAGAGCCTGTGATTGTCTGAGTTCATCCCAATCCAGTGACTCTCCTCCCCTCCCCCTCTCTCTCCCCCGCAAGGGCGTTGAATAGCTTTGGCGAGATTGTGTTTGTGTCGGACCCCTGTTCAACTGTAATGGTCAGAAGTCGATCATAGATGCATCGTTGTTGTGTCTTTGTAGCAATCGTCCACTTTCTCACAGCTGCATCCAGTCCCTGATCGGCTAGGGTACATGACGGCGTTGATTCTGACACTATAAGGCTTCCCGTATTAGTCGAAGTTTAACAGGAGCAGGCGATATTGCTGGCAAACTTCTATGATTGTGTTTTAATTTAGCTGATTGCCTTGCAAAGTTCAGCTTGTTCTTGGGGCCAATCTTTGAGCGAGCGAAGAAAATTTTTGTAAAACTTGCACAGCACACACAGCAGGCGTTTGGGCAATAGTTCCGAAAAATTTTCTCGTCCACCAAGAAAAAGACGTTTTTTGAGGTTCCCCTTTCAGCGATCCTTACTTTTTGAAAGTGAAACGCACGGTGTCCTTTAGTTTGGTCTCGTCCTGGGACTGCTGTTAAAAGTCCAAATCGCGGTGCGCACTTCAGCAGGTAGAATCCGTGGTGGTACTTCTCAGTGGGGACTACGGGCGTTGGCACAGGTGTTAAGCGTAAGAGGTTGGTCTTGCAATGAATTTCTATCTGCTGTCTAAATAGGTACTAGAAAATTTGCAAGAGGCGGAAGGGGAGGAGGGGAGGGGGTGAGAGAGGCGAAAACAGAACACTTATTTTGCACAATCTGTTTCTTTCATTCCAGGATTATCCCCCAATGAAAGGCTATATCCGCGGCACTGCTTTACTCACCGCCTATCTCGTTCGGCCATTCGATAAAGAAGGATGTCAGATTACATATCTTAGCCATTCAGATCCTAAAGGTGATTAAATCAAGATCAAATAACCTCTTCTTGATCATAGTTGAGACTTCAGGAAAACTGCCCACATGGTTGGTAAATCGCTTAACACGTGTGATTGCACCTAAAATAGTCAAAAGATTGCATAAAGCATGTGTTGCTTACCCCGAATGGAAAAAACACAATCAACCCAATTTGAAACCCTGGATTTACGCAGAGCAGCAGGTGAGCAGCTTTGACAGCAATCTCAACACATTTCTTATATATTTCTTAGGTGGACTTTCCTCGAGTAGATTTGGCAAAGTGCCAGCCACAGGAGTATGAACAGGAAGTAATAGACGAATCAAGTGCTCCTCCTTCAAAGACTGCCGATGATGAAGACGATGATTAGTTTATCTCCCGCCCTCCTCCTTTGCCTGCTCATTGTCATTCCAGTTTTTTCCATTTCTTCTGTACAAATTATTTCAGAATTCCTCTCAAATGTACAGCCACCCATTACTGATAAGTAACTTTCCGAGTACATAATCGTGACAGTACTAGCTTCTAAGTACTTAAACATATCATTGTCAACTATTGCTCCTCAAAACCATTCTTTCTTGCATAGTCCATAAATGACCAATTAACTTTGGGTCAGGTTGTGATACTTTAATTTGTTTTCTACGATGATAAGTGCTTGATTAAAAATGAAAATCTCGAGTCTTGTTGTGCAACACTCCTATCAGAACTTAAATGTTTGGCAGATATCTCGCAAGGCGTCAACTTTGTTCATCACAACCTTGGCCGCTGCATTTTTGCATGACGTTTTTTATATATTTACAAGTATCTTCACCACCGCTCCTTCATATGTTCTACCGTGGAGAAGGCAAAAGGCACAATAAAACTTAACACGTATTAAAGTTTACTCAAGGTTGTCTACGGTTTCGATTGCATAAGTAGTTTGATTCAGAATATCCTTTTAACAATTGCACATTCTCAAGGGCTGGACAAGATGCGTAAGTTTGAAATTAGAGCCTCCCCTTGACTTTGCATACTTTGACTGCACTATCAAGGGTTCTGGTAGTGTCTTCGAATAAAGACAAGGAGATGTGGAGGAAGAACATTGAAAGGTGAGACAACTACAACTTTCTGATATCTAGGACAATAGCGAACTTAGAGGATGGAGCTCGAAAGACTTGACTACTAGTAGATAGACCTTCAAGAAGTGTTCAGGCAGTACATACGCTGAAAGGTGTTGACCAAGTGTTGCATCCACATCCGCAGTCTTGCCCGGCCAAGCTTTCAAATGTTTTGTACCCGCAGCTACTGTAATCTCTCCTCTCGCTCGATTGGCGTCTCAGGTGCTCTTGAATGCAAACTTCTCGGCTACCTTGAAACCTGCATCCGTTGTTCTGAGGTTTCGCCCTCTCGAGCCACTCCTACCCCTTTGCTTTAGGGGCCGGCATACTTCTCGCGATTTGGCAATTCGCCAAAATCTTCGGATCCAACACTAGCATTCTGCACATGCACAGTGTGTATAACTTACGTGGAGTGATAAATTGCCCTATCCTCTTTAGATTTAAAATGTGCATACAATGAGTTATGAATAGTTGGAATATGTCAAGTGGCGTCGCGACTAAAATCGCGTGAAGTATGCCCGGCCCTTTGGAATTAGTGCTTCCAATTGTTCGGGCCGCATTGTGGAAAGCTGTGTGATTGAATAGAGGTTCATTCTAGAAAGACTCTTCGGTTTAACGGCTTGGTTATCATATCATCATAAGGCAAAGTCTTTTTTATTCCTCACTAGCTGGCTTACCCGGCTCCGCAGTATGTTCCGAATAGAAAATTCCATTTCTTAACCGATCCGGACCAAACTTGGCACACATACACTTTGGGCCCCGGCGGGTGCCACAGTCCACTTTTCGTTATCGATCGATGTCGATTTTATCGATTTTTTGCAAAATTTGAGCTAGGGGCTGGAATTTGGCAGAGGGGTGTAATCGAGCATGCTGATCACCCCCACGGGGGTGATCAGCATGCTCGATTACCCCCCCCCTGTGCCAACCCCCAGCTCCGTAGCTCAAACTTTGCAAAAAATCGAGAAAATCGATATCGATCGATGACGAAAAGTAGCCTATGACACCCGCCGGGGCCCGAAGTGTATGTGTGCCAAGTTTGGTCCGGATCGGTTCAGAAATGGAGTTTTCTATTCGGAACATACGTACAGACATACAGACAGACATACAGACAAACAGACATTCAGCTTTATATATAAGATTCACCCTGGATCAATCAAAAATGATAAAGTATTTGTCGCCAAATGGATAGGTTCTGCGCGAAATCTGCGAATACACAACTCAGCATGCTGAGTTGTGTTGTTTAACTCTTCACATACAGTTGCATTGGGTGTCCTAGCAGGTGAGCCTGTGGTGACATAATGTCCTCTATCTGTAACGACGGTATAGCGTAGATAGACACATATCGTTATACATGTGACAAAGTGCGCGCACGACTGTCTCGAGTGCCAGGTTGAGAGCAAAGAAACCAACGAGAGTCTGCGCTTACAAAACAACACGGCTTAGGGTTGAGCCAGACTTCGCGGGGAAGCGGCGTACGCGGCGTACGCAGCGTACGTCGCGTACGTCGCGCAGTCTGGCTCAACCCTTAGAACTAAATATTGCTCTTCATGCACTCTCTTTCCGTCGTCTAACAGTTTTCATTAACAACATCTCAGAAGCTCCTGCTTCGTTGCGAAAAACAGAGCTGCTATGTACTGCGCCATGATTATGTGGCTACATCGCAAGGCACAGATTCCATTTGAAAATACGATTTTGAGAGCTTACTCGAACAGCGTTCCTTTTCGCCGAGCTTCCTTGGAAGAATTACACTGAAACACACATTGCTTATTTAGAAATTGATGAGATAGTGGTTGATAATAGTCCATTTTCAACACAAAATGCTAAACATCAATAATTCGATAAAAGACTGGGCGACTTGCCTCAAAAAGTGCCCTTGGGTGCCGGAGTTGAAAACATATGTGTGCAAAGTTTGGCGCCATTAGTTTACACACGAAGATTTCCATTCGGAACACGCTTCATGCAAGCATACTTATAAAATAAACTACTTAACTTAGCTCGGCCTTTTGGCAAGGAACACATATATACCGGTGGCGTACCGAAAGGGGGTAGGGTAGGGGGGGGGGGTCGCGAAATTTTTGAAAGTTACTTATATGGGTTATAAAATTGTGCAAATGACTTGTCTGCACTTGTGAATAATTAAAATAATTTTTAAAATTTTTGAAAATTCATTTTAGCCTTATAAAAATTTTTTTTCGGGGGTCTGAGCCCGCGAAAATTTTAGGGAGCATACCAAAAAATTTTTCGGAGTGCGTGGCTGACGCCAAGCACCTTCTTAGGAGAAGAATTTTTGTCTCCCCCCCCCCCCCCCCGAGCAAAATCCAACGCCACTGATATATACCAGTCTAATTGTCCGCCTTCGCGGACCCTCAGATTTCCAACTCCAAAATCAAAGCAAAGACGGTCTTCTACTAAAAATCTTTATTAACTTGAGCAAACCCCATGAAAAAGCTCTTCATTTTTATAGATCCGCCTATCAGAACAGTACTTTTATCTGTCATATGTCCTATTCTTTGAGACCTGGGCATATTGTAGTAACTGATTTCAGTACTTTTCTTCTGCCGTACAGGTTATAGGTGACACTTTATTGCCTAACGTTTCGACACAACGCCGCCGTCAGAGGCTTAAAAGGAGTCATCCGATTCACGATTCTAGCCGGCATCAGGTCTTCAGTTATAGATAACTAGTGCTTCACCTCTGCTTCGCAGAGGTTCGCACTGGCCATCATGAAAAGTATAGGTAAACTTACGTAGTGATCTTGGCCTTCATCATTCTTTGATGGAGGAGACCGCAAAGTAATTACAAAAATGAACTTTACTTGCTTTGCAACTCTCACATGCATTTAAGCAATGTAAATCATTCCTCACTGTAATTTCGTAACAGACAGACTTACAGACCGACAAATTAGCGGCTTATTATAAGTCATGATTGTTCATTCTTGTTGTTAATCTTGGGGTCACGGACAAGAATGTAGGATGCCTCGAGGGCCTTTCTAGCGGAGATATGATTTTCGTGGGCCAAGATTATGCATTTGATGTCGAAGTCGATACCGCTATGATCTATTTTTCTATGCTTTCCTGGCGGACTCATTACGTTCTGCCGCTTTTTGCCAGCCAGATGCTCGCGCACGCACAATGGCTACCTGTTTCACCGATGCACACGACTGTCTCTTGTAGCGGCAGAACGTAATGAGTCCGCTAGGAAAGCATAGAAAAATAGATCATAGCGGTACCGACTTCGACAGGGAAGGATACTAACTTAGGGCCGCATGCACTAACATGGCCGCGGGGAGGGGATCGCAGCTTAAGAGAAAGCTTCATATTCTGAAGCTCCAGATATCTGGATTTCACGCTGTCTACCTGTCCGTAAGTATTCCTACTATCCTTCACTATGAACATATTGAACAGGAGCGAGAAGCTGTACGAACCGCATTTTCCAGCTTTTGTATGATCCCTGATGATCCCCGGCGCTTTTCTTTAAAGTAATTTTTCTTTCTCCGAAGTTAACGAGAACCTTCCAAAATTGTACTGAACATCTAACACTACAGTGCTAAGCATGTTGCTGGTGAGAACAAATAAATTTTTGAAAAATCGAGTTTTTCGGTAAACCCCAAATTTCGACCTGTGGATCATCGAAAATTTTATGACTTTAAAAAATCATTGCGGTTTGTACAGCTTCTCGCCCCTGCTCAACATGTTCATAGTGAAGGATAGTAGGAATACTTACGGATAGGTACACAACGTGAAATCCAAGTATCTGGAGTTTCGAAGTATGAAGCTTTCTATTATGCTGCGATCCCCTCCCCGCGGCCATGTTAGTGCATGCGGCCATTAGATTCGCCTTTTGAGATAGGACATATATTTGGAATCAGCTTTGAACGCTGATTCCAAATATGCTGTTCCTAGCTGCTTAGCTTTATTTCGAGCTAGTTAAGCTTGCTATTATAAGTAATCAACAAATTTCTGAATATCATAAGACGACGTGTAGATTAGAATGTGCTCGAAAAAATTTCTGGAATGTTAAACTAACATCAGATTAATTCTTTCAGTCTTAAAAGGGAGCATTATACAATTGCAAAACCACCTAGACGTCGACACCGTAGCATCAGTAAGTCGAGGAGCACGCAAACTTTGCATAGAAAAGAGGCCATGAATGATATCCACGAAAGTCCATTTAAAAATGGGCTTTTCGCGAATGAAACGCGAATAAAATGGGCTTAGTCCCTGCGGTGCGATAAGATATCGCGTTCGCGAATCCATTCATTCCATACAAAAATGCTTCAGCAAACCTTTCTTCAACTTGCCTCAACTGTTTACTCACTCTTGCAAACTCATTCCCACCAAATGGTCGATATCCAGACTTATCTAACTCTACTATATCAGTCACGTGGATACTCCGTTCTTTTCCATTTCATTACACCTCATAGAATGCCATTTATTAACTATGACTATGCATCTAAATTAGTTTCAGTCCATCTAAAATCCAAGTAATATCAGGGCATTCGCTCTTCAAAACTTCTATGAATCTGCATTGAATCAAATTCGTATGTGGAGTTTCCAGCAGCAAGCAAACTTTGGCTAGACTTGCATTGCAATTTGTAAATTAAAATGCTTATCTCACAGAAAACCTTGTACTACACTACAACACAAAGGCTTTTAAGCTGGAACAACTTTGGATCTGCAAAAAATTGATGGCTTCTCATGCTGTACTTTAGCAACCCCAAAACTTTCATGCAAATATGGCGTTTGATATATGAAGCTGTTTTTCTTGCATGAACTGTGTGAGTTTGAGGGGTGGATACTAGAATGATGACAAAGTCACTGAATTCAATTTTGCGTTTAGAACTTATCTAGGCATATACTCTGATCCCAAGTCATATGTGCTTTTGATGATCAAAGTTGCTTAGGGGAAGTGCTACGAACAACTGAAGCAAAGCGGACTTATATCCGTCTCAGCATATAGGGAATGCTTGAACCATTGCCTTTTGCTATTGGCAACCTTATTATAGATTTTGAACAGAATTCAAATTAACCGGTTGTTGGAAAAGCTCTCGCATAATCCAGTATCAATCAGGTAACCTTCATTTCTCATCCCTAATGTGATGCTCTATATTCGAAAATAAAACAGAGTTCGCTTCGACGTTTTGGGTATTGAAAAGTGTTTTCGGTGACAAAATGACGTATCGAGAAGATTTTCTCTATAAAATGACTTATTTAATTTTGGTAAATCGGGATTTTTTTATATTTCCATACGAGAACAAGAAGTGACTAATGTATAGACTATAGCTAGTAAGAAATTTTTCACAGAATATTCTGACTTGCTAGCGGTACTTCAGTACTTCTTGCTACCAAACTCAAAATCGCGACTTTTGAATTGCCGTCTTTGTGTCTGTCTGTCTGTCTGCCTCAAGTGCCTACGAAAAAAATTTTTCTATGATTTTCAAAGCATTTTAAGGCTGTTTGGAGAAGATAGTTTTTTGGCCCTCCTAAAGAAGATAAAACTTTCTCCTTTCGCTTACATCTTAAAATGAGCTAGGGAACATATTATCAAAAAATCGCAATCAAAAATATGCAAGAATGTCAAAAATGGGCTTAGTCCCAGCACATCTGGCTGCTGGGAGTAAAATGGGCTTATCAGAAAGGTGAGAGAGAATGAACATGGAGGTGAACTCCTTTTGCCCCATTCTAAAATGGACTTTTGACGTCATCTTCCGCGAGCGATAGCTCAAGTAAGCTTGAATCATTTTCATTTCACCGCTTTGCCTCGCGGTTGCGATGGGATGAAAAATTTTGGATATCGTAAGCGGAAGCCGATTTCGACCACTTTCTAACGCGAACGAATAAAATGGACTAAGTAAGTCCATTTTCCTCCATTATGGACTTTCGTGGATATGAGTCCATAACTCGCTTCGAATAACGCTAAGCAGCTAGGAACAGCATATTTGGAATCACCGTTCAAGCTGATTTTAAATATATGTTCTCATCTCAAAAGGCTTATCTAAGTCAGTCTTTCTCTTGTAAGATAAGACTATTCACAACATATAATAGGCATTCAGATTTGAAACTGGGCTAGTGGCGCGTCAATAGTTTCTCATGAAGAATATCGAACGCACTGGTTTTTCTCTCTACCCTCTTTCCTCGTGCTCCCATAATGATAGGCTCAAAACTCACTGCGCGATGCTGACCACTATGAATGAATTGTAAGCAACTACTCATTCTTAAGATTTTCCCATGCAAAATCGGTAATATGGAGAAAAGAAATTTCCTCCAAAAGATTATAAGCGAGTTTGAATTAGTTATTGAAGTCATTATGGCTTGCTAATTGCCACAAAGAGAACGACCACCGTGAACATTTCTCATTTAAAATCTTCACTAATTCTTAGGTGAAATCTTGACAAAACCACCACCTATGCAATTTATGCAATTTTTCCTTTTTGGCGCTATTGTGTAAAAATAGACTTTTTACTCACTTTTTGGGCTGAAGTCCTTGGTTTGCTGTTTTGATTGTTGAGCAAATCAACGACTTTGCTGTTTCATCAATGATACATTTTGGGAGGTCAAAAGCCGCAAGGATCAGTTTGATGCACAGTTTTCAATGGTCCACTCATCAGATCGGCATGTGCTTTTGCCCAGTTTGCGTGCATGCTAATCGGGCCCTTTGCCACGACCAAAATTCTAGCTCAAAAACGTGGCTGCAACTAGTCCTATTGATTTCGTGACAGACAATGTTCAGATGGACAAACAGACGTAAGCAACCTCTAGCCCGCTATTATTAAGTCATGATTCTGAATCAGCTCCAAACACTGGTCCCAAATATGCTAATCCTAGCTGCGGTACAACATTCCGTAGCGAGTTATGGGCTTTTTACTAGTCGGAATTGGCATACTACTGAATATAAAATGAGTGCCTGTAAAAATCTACAAGAAAAAGGTGCTGAGATATCGAAATAGCTTCAGATCTAAGGCAATAATGCCAGTAAATCAATGAGTATGAAACTTTTGCGAAGAAAGTTAATAGCTCCAGACTGATGCGCCGCAGTCAGAAAAAGCATACTTGGACTTAGCGTATGAAGCTAATTTTAGAAAATATAAGTCTCTTTTTAAAGGCCGAGCTAAATTATATAGCATCCCTTGTTAATCACAAACTCTGAGTTTCATATAGGTACAGAATTGTAGCTAAAATTTAATCAATTGTAAGACGTAGTGTTTTTCCCCTTCGGCTGCGGTAGAAGCAGTATTCAATACTTTTGAGATATGCGCTGTTCATGTATGTACACCCGCATAGCCACTACCAGCCTTTAGAGTCGCTATTAAAATTTTACGTAAAATCAACGTGAATTGGTTCTTTGGTGAGTAAATGACATGTAAATAAAACAAACAAATTTGAGAATGCATAGAAAAAATCGAAATATTTCAAAACAGTTGTTAATCAATCTATGTCAATATGTGATCCTGCTAATTATGATGCCAAACGATCTCTTTACTCAAGAGCAAAGAAGAAACTCCTGGAGCACAGCTAACAAACAGCAAATCAGCAAACAGATTGGATAAGAACTGCTATGATTCGAGGATTTGAGCATTTCGGTGTGTAAAAAAGATTGGTGCCAAGTGGGATGATTTTTAAGAATAAGAGGGAAAAACAACATATGCACGAGAGAATGCGCTAGACAAGGAAAGGATGGGAAGCCAAAGTGTCCTCTCAAAATAAAATGTAGTATATTTTAGAGTGTATAAAACGTCTTCCAGATCTGCTTTCTTTGTCTTGGAACGTCCCTTGGGAAGATGGATTTTATGAGAACAAAATATTTTGCGCAATTAGGATAAAATTAGTTGTCATCGACATTCTGGCTCAAATGAGGCAACGACGAATAAAGACATGCTTATATTCTAAACATATCATATGGAGCCCGCCGAGAGCTATCATTGCTGCATTTGAGCGTTAGAAAAATTTAGCGCTAATTCTATTAGGTTGTCCTATAATTCTTTTCATTTTTGGGTTTTTTTTTGCAACAAACCATACACTTCTTACCTCTAAACTGACATCAGAAAATCATTTGATAGAGCAAAGCAAGCTGTGCGAGATGGCTTTTATACTTTGCTTCAGCTTCGATTAATTTCAAGTTCAAAACAAAATACAAAAAGGCCTAGATACCCAAAGAGTTTTTCTTCAAACAGAAAATCCACAAATTTCTTATTGGCTCACGCATAAGCAATTAGAAGAGAATTTTCATATTTTCGACAGAATGACGCTGTGCTGTTCTCACACACTAGCGCTTGTATTGAAAGCTTTTGGAAGTTCAACTGTATATTTTCGGCTCTCTACAAGCTTTAGTTTCCGAGAAGTATTAGTTTAAGCGTGAAACATCAAAGGTGAGGAAAGCTTAATGCAATATTTCTCGAAGACTAGCCCTTAAAGGCAGCTGCTCGGCAGATTCTCGACGTGATTTTTTGCTTACCTGGAGTAATTCGAGGCTCTGATTCCGAAAATCCACATTGAAGAGCGCAAAAATAGCAAAAAATATCATTTTCCAAGGCCTCCCATTTTGAATTTGGGCCGGTGGAGCACGTCCCGCCATGGTTAGAGAGGCAGAATCGTTGCGGAACCCTATTGCGGCATGCCTTTTCTGACGGGTCAGGGAGAATAGCAAGCTCGTTTGCGCGTATTAGAATGACTTGCGCGTAATGTGGTTTTCTAGGCAACGGCAGCATGCAATGCGCTCGACCTGCTCTGTTCTCATGTTTGGGATGCAAGCAATCTCTGTCAAACTTTCGGGATGTTCGGTTTTGGCGAGCTGCTGCTTCTAAGGAGAGCTCAGAGTTTACGGTTATACTTCTAAAAGATTTTAATATACTTACCTGTGTAAGAACAGCATAGCTTCGCTATTGTATAAGCATGAAAATTTTCTTTTTGTCGATTTCGTACGTCTGAGCGTCACTTGGGATGTTTATGGAGTGAGTGAGAAATTCATAGGAATTTCAAACATAATTTGGATCAAAGTTAGTGCAAAAGTATGTACGCCTTCTTGTAGAGCTTGTTTTGCTTTCTCATATGGTGTCTTCAAGTCTAGTTAGAAAGTAGTGTACAACTTGTTGCAATAAAAATTCAAAAGGAGAAAACTTATGGGGCATTTTTGATTAAAATCCAAACTCGATTATCGATGAATCTTGGTATGAGGTAGTTACTTGTATACGTATTCTATAGCCGATAACCAAGCTTGTTAGTACGCTTTATTCTATCAGGCCAACGATCGTACACATTAGTGTTTGTTGCGAAACTTGGTCCCATGTTCAGGACTGACAATGCAGCTGCAGAAAGAGGAACGTTTCCATTGACAGACACACGAGAATCAGTAAATCACTAACATCTCAGTCTGTATTTACTGATTCTCGTGTGTCTGTCATTGGAAACGTTCCTCTTTCTGCAGCTGCATTGTCAGTCCTGAACATGGGACCAAGTTTCGCACATATTTAAAAGACAGGCACCGGGTAACGCAAAAGATTGTTGGCAGCTTGTGCATAGTTCACGAACGCCTGCGACAAAAAGCAAAACAGAGCGACGAAGAACATAAAGGCAGTATGAGCAACAGCGATACATGTTTGCCTCTCAATCTTTTCTCACCTCTAAGTTTCAAGCCACAAGGTCCTCATCAAGTGATGGATGCAAAATTTCGTACGCTAGCTACATCCATCCTCACGCTAACACGCTTCTCAAAAAGACATCCCATTTTCAATCCAACAATTGCTCAGCGTCTTGGTCTAAGAGAATTTCGTGAATAAGCGCAAAAAGAAGATCAAGATACCTATTAGCGATAAAGGAGGGGATTTCGTAGTTTTCACAAGAGAACTGGATATGGCCATAACAAGACATTACTTGAATGATGAGACGTTGTACCAGGCTTTCTCCGAGAACGAATTTGCAAAAGAGTATCGCCGCTTGAACAGACTATGGGCAGGTACTGCAAACTCTATAGGCTTACCAAAAAAAGTTGATATCACATCTTAAAAACGAACTGCCTAAATGTCCTGTCCTTAAATGCTCATCAAAACACACAAGCTCACTGCTAGTAACTTCTTGTCCTCGGACCCTGCAGAGTTCAAAATAAGGCCTATTGTAAGCAGTTGTGGAGGTCTTAGTGATAGGAAATCTTGGCTGCTGAACTTCCTCACGCAGTTGCTTCGATATATTCCTGCTCACCTGACAATTACCAGTATGTTCCTTGAACAAGCCAGTAAGGCACTGCTAAGTAAAGAATGTGTTATCGAATCATTCGATGCTTCGTTGTATACGAATGTGTCGAACGAAGCGGCCATGGAAGCAGTCTACGAGATACTGAACGAACACCATCTCAGATAATCGCCGGGGGCAGGCGGCCATGCGATTTATGGGCGGGCGGGCACCGGAAAAATAATTCGCTGATTTCTTGCGGTCCGCTTGCAGATATTTGGAAAAATTTTGGCGAAATTTTAGACGAATGCTTGGAGAACAATCGAGGTTTCCTAATAGATTAGCTGCGGCGCAGTGGCCGCATTCTCGCGGTCCGCGAAAATATGCAAAATTTTCGGGCGCCGTACAGTCCTTTGTGGTTGACCGCGCAGCCCCAGGTTGTTTCCGCTGAGAGAAAGTACCTCAAACTTGAGTAATTAAACCAAAGATGACATCTCTGCCACACAGAGTCTTACCTGTGCTCGGCGTATGCCCGAAACTGCTTAAAAAGAGTCCGAGCGCTTACTGAAAGTTTGGCGCGCTCGCTAAAAGAAATTATTTGCCGAGCGCTTGCAGAAAATGCTGTATTGCTGCCCGCTGCCAGAATATGCGACCATAAAGGAAGTGCCGCCAGCTGAAGGTTTGGCCACGCCCCGAAATTCTGTTGAACGCTTGCAGAAAAACGCGAGTTTGAAACCGCCTGCCCTCAACAATTATCTGAGATGATTTGGCACCTGTCGTTGCCATTGCTTATATGTCAAAAATCGAGAGCTTCGTACTTGCGCGCAAACCAATACTTTATTGCCGCTATGTAGATGATTGTTGTATAGTATGCGCAACACAAGACAAACTAGACACTTGCTTCGACCCCTTAAACAATCAATCCCCGCACATAAAGTTCACGCGAGAGAAGCCTCGCGAAAACTGGCTGCCTTTGCTTAACGTACAAGTGCAATTGCGTGATGGATCGTACAAGACCAAGTCGTTTCGAAAACCAAGCAGCAAAAATATATTAGTTTACTATCCCTCAGCCCATCCTTGGACACAAAAAGGTCGATAATTTGTAATATGTTTGAGACTGCTAAGGTAGTTTCCCCCGATCAGAAACGCGCTACATCGTTGAGTCTTGTCAGACAAATTGAGCAGTCCAATGATTAGCCCACAGACCATCGAAACGTACCTGGCAAGGATACAGACCGCGCACAAGCAAGAATGAAGTCAAAATACCTTTTTGTGTTCCTTTCATATCTGAAGATTTCGGCAAAGCGATAAGAAAAAGTTTAGAAAATGTAGGCCTAAAAGACTCCGTTAGAATCATAGACGTTTCGCCCCCTCTTAGAAAAACTAGTTCGTAATCGCTGTTACAACCGATTATGCATGAATATCGATTGCATCGTCTGCCCATTTGGTCAACGGCGATTGCATGGAGGCAGGAGTAGTCTACCAGATAACTTGTCATACTTGCGGGAAACCATACATAGGAGAAACTGGCAGGCCTCTGCGTGTGAGAATAAAACAGCACCTAGATGGTTTTAGAAAATCTAAATTCAATAGCTCCCTAGGCGCACATTGCAGAGAGGACACTCAGATCAACAATTTAATATAGCTGTCACAATATTAACGCGTGAATCCAAAATTGTTTCTCGTAAAACACTGGAAGCATCATAACTTATAATAACGGGCTAAGGTTGTTTACGTGTGTGTGTGTGTGTGTGTGTGTGTGTGTGTGTGTGTGTGTGTGTGTGTGTGTGTGTGTGTGTGGTGTGTGTGTGTGTGTGTGTGTGTGTGTGTGTGGTGTGTGTGTGTGTGTGTGTGTGTGTGTGCGCGCGCGCGCGCGCGTGTGTGTGTGTGTGTGTGTGTGTGTGTGTGTGTGTGTGTGTGTGTGTGTGTGTGTGTGTGTGTGTGTGTGTGTGTGTGTGTGTGTGTGTGTGTGTGTGTGTGTGTGTGTGTGTGCGCGTGTGTGTGTGTGTGTGTGTGTGTGTGTGTGTGTGTGTGTGTGTGTGTGTGTGTGTGTGTGTGTGTGTGTGTGTGTGTGTGTGTGTGTGTGTCTGTCTGTCTGTCTGTCTGTAACGAAATTCGTAGTGCGAGTTCCAGCCAACGTCCTGAGCCCAAATTTTGCACATCGCATGCGACCAACATAAGAGCCTACCGGGCAAAAGCACAAGTGGATTTGTTGGGTGGATCCCTCAGAAACTGCGCACTGCGTCAAACGGAACCACTTGGGTTCTGGCCAGCAAAATTGATTCCGTAGCACCACTTTTTGCAAAGTCGGGGATGTGTTTGGCATGCTGATGTGCAAGCCATGGACTTTAGTCCAAAAAAGTGGATGGACAAAAGTTCACTATTTCAGGAGAACGACGCCAAAAAAGAAATGTTTGCGTAAATGATTAATTTGCCATGGTTTTACCTGAGCATTCGAGAAAAATTCTGCACAGAGATGTAGCTCACGTTGCCTACTGTCCTTATGGTAGCTACCAAGCCAGAAAGAGTGCAAAAACCTATTCAAATTTGTATTTGTTCTTCTGCGAAAAGTTTCATTCACGCAAAATCACCGATCTCACATAAAAAGCATTTTAAATGGATAGTTGTTTACATTTTACTCCCATAATCGGCACTGCGCGGTGAGTTTCATTGCCACCATTAGTCAAGAATGAGTAAGGCATAATGAAGTAAGACCAGTGCGAGCCTCTGCGAAGCAGAGGTGACGCACTGGTTTTGAACAACTTTCAAAGCTCCTGCAATGAACCGCAAGGAAGAGGGCGCTGCCATGACTAGTGATCCGACCCGTATCAGTCCTTTTGCGGATTTGATCTACAACGAGAAGAGTCATCTATATGAGGCAGTTATACTGGTTTTCGGTACTACTGACTATGCAGACTCTGTGTTTGGTGGTTGCTCAACGCTGATTCGAAGATTGCCGAGGAGAGCATTGACAATGCTCCGTCACTGCTTTCAAACTAACCTAATGTTGAGTGTAGCCTTGGCTTGAAGGAGGTGTTTGAGAGAACAAACCACTAATGTGTGCGATCTTCCAGGCTCTGACGAAGGTGAGGGCACCGAAAAGTTGGCCTGATTGAATAAAGCGTATTAACAATCTTGATTATCGACTATAGAATACGTATACAAATGACTTATGGGACAATTTAAAATTCTATGAGGCTGCAACAGAGTTAATGCAGGTTTTTCGCGCACCGACTTTGAAATGCTACTTTAGAGTAGAAAACTAAAAAGTTTTACATATCATTTGAAAACTCTTTTCTTCTGATTTTCCTTTTGCGTTCTTTCGTTTCAATGAAAGTGTATCCGTTTAGAAGTTCTGTGCCTGTAAATGTAGGAGAACAAAATTCAATTTTTCAAAAATACTTTTGTTCTGAAACCACCAAAACCGCGGAATTCTTTCAAATTTACACCGTGTTTTTGAGTAAGGTAGCTATGTTGAATCATGTTTTCTAAGTTTCCAAGCCGAAAATTTTCAAAGCAGAACTCAACGGTCGCCGGAGTCCGTTGAGAGAGTTGCCAAAGGTTTGCTAATAACGAGAATTTTTATTGCACACTGTAAAAATTGCAATGATTTAAACACAAACCCAATAGGACCTGCATTAATTCTGTTACCTAGTACTTGTGCGTTCAGTCTTGTACTCCAATAAACGCTCAAAATCCTCGTCCAAATTGCTCCACAGATAAGGACAGATATGGAATGAGCGTTTTATGCCCACCAGGAAGACATACATAACATTTCAAAAGGTTTTTTTGACTCCTACCCTCGTAAGTACAATTCTAACATGTTTTGCAATCAAGATAACTCATCTCTACCAAATCACAAACTATGCTGCAGCTGAAGTATCTAAAAAAACGGAGAGAATTGCTCATTGATTAAACATCTGGGCGCCCATCAGCTGTTGATATTGACTGCATTTGGCGTGCGTCACAAGTAACTGTGCGCTTGTGCGACCAGTTAGGAGGGTGAAGTAGACGAGCTCTAGTCACAGGTTATGCCTCTGCCCCTTCATGCACTGTATCTTGCCTTTGCATCCTGATGTGACAACAATTGTCATTCCTTTCGCGACAAGTCGCGGCAGGCCACAACTTTCGCGGGCCTTATTGGTCTTATCCGGCAGAAATGATACAAGATAGCGTGCTTTCGATGATAGACGGACATGGTTCAAAGGTAGGTTCCGAGTCTTCCGTCACGACACAAGGGGTTAGTAGGGTGTTCCCAACTGGCCCAGATGTTGCCTACCTCTCCGATTCGAGTTATTTCATACTTATATTTGAGGCCCTAAGCTATCACGCAGCATGCGATGGAGTGCCATTCATTTTATATGACTACTCGATACTGACCAGTTACGCTTACTCTACTTGCTGAAGCACTAAGGCAACTTTACAGTCCGTCTGGCGGCCACAACCGTACGAAGTGCAATCAAACAGTTACGCTCGGGCTGAATTCTAGACATAATTTGCCCACAAGCAACAGCTGTAGCTCTCACTTGGTAAAAGAAGGAAAAACAGGCATGAAGAGCAGTACAAACTCATAATCTGCGATTTATGACTAAGAAATTAGCTCGTGCGCGTGTTGTTACGGTTGCGCTGCACAGGGCTGTTGCCGCGCATATACTCTAATCCCTTTCTACAAAACTATAGATTTTTCGTTGCGTAACAAACATTTGTACTCAGAAAAATGCTGTGAAAAGAGGTTGCTTGCAGGAAAACTCATTTGGCTGTTATGCGGGTTAATGTGGCGCAAGTTTCTGAAGATGCGGATTACGTGAAGGTTCGCAATATGTGCGACAATAGTCAAGGGTGGAAAGAAGTAAGTGTCTAGATAATGGACGAAGAACTATTGAGCCAAACTACCAAATCGAAATATTTAGGTGTACCACAAAAAGATGATTACTGTATACGCTCAAAAAGTGCCTAGCAGTAATTTTCAAATGATAAAAGTGTGTGAGCAAGATGCTTTTCAGAAAGCTAGCTTTTACAGCGACTATTACTTGTAAAGACGAATTTATCTTTAGGCTGTCGCAAAATTCCCTGACGTGACCTCTGATGTTGCTTACGATGTCTTACATGATTCAACCTATCGAGACCACTGGGATCGACACATGGCGGCACAGTGCTACATTGGAATGGTCAACGGAAATAGCGATATTGAATACTACGCAAGTAGATTACTGAATTCTAATTTTGAGGTCCCTATTTAAAATATGTGAGTATCTTCAGTATCTGGAATCCCACCGGTACGCGCCCGTGATTTCGTTATGCAACGTTCATGGCTTGACACCGGATATGAGAAATTGATTTTTAGTCATTCAGTTTGTCACCAGGTGAGGATGATTATTCTTTCTTTCGTTTATAGTCAGTTCTTTTTGAAAGTGCTACGCTAAACCATCTTTTTGATGTCTTCGCTGTATCACTGTAGTGATGTGACCCAAAAACCTTTAGCAGTAACGGTCCGAGAAATTCTTCGGAAAAGGAGAGGGAGACGAAAATCATTTTGGTATGCAGTAGCTACAGTCTCTAGATTTTCAAGTGCTCTTGAAATTTTTTGCACTCACTCGTATATTTGAAGTTTTGATAGAAAGAAACATGCAGGCACGCACTAAAATTTATGAAACTGACACGAATTTTTTGAAAAAATGTTGGAAAGTAATTCGATTTTCCAAGAAGAAAGGGCCAATCCCACAATTATGTGAACAATTTTGAAAGTTTTGCGACACATTTTCGGTGTGAAGCGTCCCTCCCCTTCCGCCACGGAAACTTTTGTCTGCATCATCTCTAGTAACGAGCAGGGTCAGGCTTGGGGTATGACGCGCCACACGTGGGGGCCGTGTTGAGGGGTCAGATCGGGAAAGGGATCGTAATCGATTTGTTACCGATAACAAGATTCATTGACAATGTCAGTTAAAGGCAATGTCTCGGCAGAAATTCGTTTTCCAAGTTTTCACCTTTTCGGAGCCTTCTCGCCATGAGAAACCCATATCAAGGCTTTTCAGCGTATGAAAATGGCGAAAGTAAGCTTTTTACAAGCCTCTCAGGCCCGTGGGCTGAGAGGCTTGTAAAAAGCTTACTTTCGCCATTTTCATACGCTGAAAAGCCTTGATATGGGTTTCTCATGGCGAGAAGGCTCCGAAAAGGTGAAAACTTGGAAAACGAATTTCTGCCGAGACATTGCCTTTAACTGACATTGTCAATGAATCTTGTTATCGGTAACAAATCGATTACGATCCCTTTCCCGATCTGACCCCTCAACACGGCCCCCACGTGTGGCGCGTCATACCCCAAGCCTGACCCTGCTCGTTACTAGAGATGATGCAGACAAAAGTTTCCCATGGTTTTCCCGCCGTTCTCATAGAGCTCTCCTAGGTGCCTGGTACCGAGTGGTACGTTCTCGGAGGCGTGTGTGTATATATAGGTACCGTAGCCATTTCATTCGCTATTCTGATCAGCTAATAAACTAAAGGATGTTCGTCGACGACTGCCCCGACTCGTGTAATCACACCGTTGCGCGCGTGCGTCTTTGGATCCTTTCCAGCGTTACAGTACACTGCAGCGCGCTGGGAATTTGCAGCTAGCACCACTCATGTCCTGTAACCTTCTTTGTAATTAAAGCGTTTCTCATCTCTTTTTCTTCCTGAACTATATTTCAGGCACCTGCTTCTCCTTTCTTTCAGGCTTGTTCGACCTTTATATATATCCTACAAGTTTAGAGTGTGTCCATAGCAGCTATCCATGGGTATCTCCGCCACACACGCAAAGCCGCTCGGATTGCTCTCGCAAGCTCAAAGGAACATTTGATCAACGAGATTTTTCGCTTTACATTCTTTTTTGCTATTCTTATCTTTTCTCATAGGAATAAGTCCTCTTAATATGGCCAGTGCTAAGTTACCTGTTTCGTTCTGTGTTGTTGTGCTGTTTGCTGAACCTTTTAAGTGTGGTCAAATGAATCGAGCCCGACTTTGTGGAATATTCTTAGATCAAGTCATGTTGGATGTTGGAAATTGTCGGGTTGCATTCACCTGACCAGAATAGAGGCCCGTAGTAAACCCCTATTCATCTCAGGTGATTTGAGATGTCATTCAGAAGAACTTCCTCGGGTGACCCTAATCCCGCCCACCTTCCCGTGCTTTAGGATAGTCAGTTCAACAGTCAGAAGACTGTCTGGTCAAGTGGCACAGTCAGTTCACCAGAATGCCACTTATCCGAGGTTGAATTTTAGGGTGACCCGAGAGAAATAGTGTGCTTAAGAGAAGGATCAGACAAATTTCCCGTAAGTTGCTCGTGAGTAACTTACGGGACAATCCAGTCGACGTATTCTTGCGGTGCAAAACTCCCAAATTTGCACGTTTTCCGCGGCGTAAATGGGAGAGGATCGATGAACAGCTGATTGCGGCGAAAAAACGAGAAGACAGGATTTCTTGGATTTCTTCTTTTTTTTCAGAGCTTGACTACGTTTTTCCTTCAAAAATGCTTGAAACAAGGATTTTTTTATTTTTTTTTTATTTGCTCTATGTTCAAAAACTTTCGTTTTCCATAAATTTCTCGCCAAAATATGGTAGTTTTGTTTTATCCATCGTTTGCTTGGCGATATCTTCGACAGCGGTCGCCATCGATTTTTCTCGATAGCGGCCGCTTCAAAGATTGTCTTGCGGTGGCGCAAAAATGTGCCACTAGCCGGCTTTGAACCATAGACTTTCTCATTGAAACCAATGCACTTAGCCTCTCGACCAGATCACTCAAGGAGTTCATTTTTTGAGAAGGCACAAGATCTTTGGGTCTGAAAGGCGATCCGAATCCGGATCGATGGCTCACCGGATGCCGGACTGAGGCGCTCTACGTTCAATGTAGGCCCGCCCCCAGCCGAGTTGGACTGAGAGGGGGTTTACTACGGGCCAGAATTCGACAAACTTATCACCAAAAGGTCGGCCTTAGTTGCCGAGGACTGTTGCCTGGTTTGCGATTGTTACCGGTATTGAAAGCATGCCAGTGGCAAGGAAATGGCAAAAAAACACGTAATCACACCAAATGCGATTTCCTCATGAAATCTGGAGGTGTCAGCAAACGCTAGCGGCATGCGGGTTCGTCAACACCGGCAAACCGGGAAGTTGGCAACCTGTGGCCGATGGTCCATGTAAGTCATGCCTAGATGGCACCACCTTTTGGAGCCCTGCACTCCAGAAAAATAAGAAAAAATCAGAAAACAAAGCTTGAACAGCCATTCTAAGGTTTTCGGAGAAAGCTTAACAGCAGTTTAATCGGAGTTGCCTGGTACACACACAGAATTTGTAGGATATCGGTGTTCAAATCCGCCTGAAATGAAAACCAAAGAAAAAGTGATTATAAGGGCATAAATAGCAAAGAAGATTATAGGACAGGAATGCTGCGAGCTGCAAGTTCCCCGCGCGCTGCAGCGTACTGTAGAGCTGGAAAGACTCCATAAACGCGCACGCGCGATGGTGTAATTACACGAATCGGGGCAGTCGTCGACGAACATCCTTTACTGAGTATTCCACTATGTCCGGTTCGACCCATCAAGACAAGGGCTACAACAACTGACGATCAGACGATAGGACTCGCATGAATAGGACGAAGATTACTGAATCGAACAAATCGGACAAGGACTTCTTCGTGGAAGGATGGCGACCACTTCGAGCACTTCACTAGAGGAAATGTCCGCTCAGCTGATCAGCAGAACGCTGTTCTGATGAGAGCGAACCAGGAGCTTTTGAAACGCCTGGAACATCCCTCTGCTCCTGCGACGTTGGCCGACTACTCAGCACTTTCCGCAAGACTAACGTTCTTCAGCTACGATCCTGAAAATGGATGCACTTTCGAAAACTGGCTATCCATGAGGAGATAGCACCATCAACGTCGATGTCCGAAAAGGACCGATGCGCTCTGCTGTTTACGAAAACCAGACAATGCCGCTCATGCCAAGCTGAGAGAACACCTTGCACCAAGTTCTCCACTAGAGCTTTCATTCGAAGAACTAACGAAAGTGCTGACATCGCTGATCGGCGAAAGGACAACGCTGTTTCGACGCCGATGGAACTGCCTCAGATCCCTCAGAGGACATCGAATCGTACGCTGCACGGCTCAGTAAGATGCTAGTCGATGCCAAAGCGGACGAAATGAAAGGAGATCTATCGAAATGTCTTCTTTTCGTCATGGGATTGCAATCAGCATGCGATTCGCCAATACGTGCCCGACTATTGAGAGAGCTGGATTCCGAGGCCGATACATACAAGCTACAGGACTTGATTGCCGACTACAACGCATACCAATCCGTGCAGAAGGATACTGCCCTTATTGGATCCGTATCGCCTGCGTCTGTCCAAGCTGAAATCGGCGCTCCTCTCCGGAAGAAGAAGCAACGCCGACCACTGCCGCAACGTGCCGGACGCCCATCCGATAGCAAGGACACGCCTGGACGTTCTCGCCGCGATGACGTGTGCTACACTTGTGGAAATCAAGGACACTAGGCCAACAACTGCCCGTCAAGGAACCGACCGGTCCGCCGTTCCCTGAAGAAAGTTGTAAAGCTGAACGTGCTGAACTCCCACCGTCGCTACGTAAACGTCAAGCTGAAGGACTTGGACGTGAGAATGCAACTCGACATCGGTGCCGACATATCGACAATCAGCCGTAAGGCGTGGATGGAACTAGGATCGCCAGCTCTGAAGGCCCCGCCTGCGGAATTGAGAGCTGCAAATGGATCGCTGATCGAAGTGTTTGGAGTTCACGAAATGCCTTTCACAAGCAATGGATAATGGCAATGGATTATTTTATGTCACCAGGACCTGTGTTTACTGGGAATGGACATGCTTCAACAGCTGCCGCCCTTCCAGAACGCTTTCTCTGCCTTGCTGTGTCGTGGATGCCTCTTCGCCACTGGACGACTCCTCGCAGCTGAGTTTCCAGAAGTCTTCAAGGATGAGCTGGGGCATGTCAACGAATCCAAAGCTTACCTTATGCTGAAGAAGAACGCCACGCCCGTCTACTTGCCGAAACGAAAAGTGCCGTTTGCCGTAGAGCCTCTCGTCAACGCAGAATTAGACCGCCTCGTCACTTACTGGAGTACTATCACCAGTCAGCCACTCACAATGGGCAGCTCCCATCGTCCCAGTCAAGAAAAGGAATGGAGCAGTGCGCATCTGTGCCGACTATTCCACCGGGCTGAACGACGCGTTGGAGCTGAACAGACCCGCTGTCCACTGCTGAGGAAGTCTTCACCAAGCTGAATGGAGGAACGGTCTTTACGAATATCGATCTGCGTGACGCTTACCTGCAAGTGGAAATGGACAAAGAAAGCAAGGAGTTGCTGACC